CACCAGGCCATAAGGGCACCTAGTCAAACTATATTTCAGCTAAAGACAGACTTGGAAAGAGAGGGACATAGTCTTTGATGAGCCTTAGGCCCAGGGAAATAAAAGCAAAGGGCATTGGATTGCAGTGTGTTAGAAGGGAATCAGGACCTGTCAGAAACCACGAGCATTTTTATGAATGGGGAATATCCCCTTGTGTTTCCCTGGAATAATGAGCAACCCTTAAAACAATGACAAGTCTTATCTGCTCTCCCTGGCAAGGGATGGAGGCCAGAGGGGCAAGCCTTGGACAGAGGGACGACCTCCCCACACCATTCACTCAAGATGGACACCGGTTTACATGCTCTCCATAGGGAAAGACTATGACACCCTCTACCTCTGCTTGCTTCACTTCAGCAAACCCTGGACCGTCTATCATCCAGTGGCAAATGTCCTCTAACCATACATTCTTCCCTTCCTGGTCCTCCTGCTTTCACTGAGATTATTCCTTGCCTTTCAGTCCATGGTCCCAGGTTCTTCTCTCAGCCCCTCCCAGCCCTTACTTCCCTCCCACTTCCATCCGTATCTGCCCTAGATTCAATGGTGTATCACTTCAACCATTCTTACCCCCCACCCCCTCAATCATGTTATACTTTTCCTGCCCTTTTCAGTTGGCCTGCAAAACCCCAGCCCACACCAGGGCCCAAAAGCTCTGCTGAGAAAAGCCCACACAGTTACAGCTGCAGCCACCAGTATTGCATGAACTGCTGGCCCTCAACCCTGGGACTCCATTCCACCATTTCCTCCACATCCCTAACAGACTTCCTCTACCACTTTCCGCACCCAGGAAATACCCATGGGAGTCAATCTCTGGCTATTGCATGCCATGATGCCTCCTCTTAACACTTGAGCATATTTAGAAGTAAAAACACCTCATAGACATTATCGTGAACCCTTACAGCCAACACTGTACTCTTGACCCCACCCCAATTTCTAGATGAGAAAACACATTCAGGGAGGTTATGAGGTTTGCCTAAGGTCACACAGTAAGTCTCAAATCACCCCACTCGGCACACATGTAGCCCATCCCTTATTCACACTGCATTGTCATGGAAATAGTGAGCTCCTTTAGGGCAGGGACTGACACATCACAAGAAAACTATCATGCTCACTGCTCAGTACTTCATGTTGAGTGAAAACCACAAGACTAAGGAGGGAGGGGAAGTTTCAGGTAACAAATTTTCAGCAGAAAAACCTGTATCCCTCCAAATTAAGGGGAGCAGGATATCAAGAACATACCTACTTGTGGTTAACAGGGTGGGTTCTGGAGCCCAACTGCCAGGATTCAAATCCTGGCTGCCTTCCTGTTTTCTGGCTATGAGCCCTTGAGTCAGCTATTTAACCTCCCTGGACATTTTTTTCCTTGCCTGTAAAATGAAATGTAGAATTCGTACATTGGCCCTGGCTGGTGTGGCTCAGTGGATTGAGAACTGGCCTGTGAGTCAAAGGGTCGCCAGTTCAATTCCCAATCAGGGCACATGCCTGGGTTGTGGGCCAAGTCACCAGTAGGGAGGCACATGAGAGGCCACCACACAGTTTTGCTCCCTCTCTCCTTCCCTTCCCCTCTCTAAAATAAGATCTTGAAAGAATTCCTACATTGCAGAATCACATGCAGATTTCAGAATAACACAAATGCTGACCAGGGTGACTGACACCCAGTAAAAGCAGTCAATAAACTTTAGCAATTAGTGGTAACTTGGTACTTAATTTGTTCAGGAATTCATGACAAGTGCTGAAACTGACAAATATCGAATGATGAAGCATCTTCTCTTGTGGGGCAGCATCATGACTCATACAAATTGTAGCAAGCGCAATGACTTCCGTGCAAGTCCAAGTGCTGAAACATTTTTTTGTCAAAATGCGACAAGTAAAGGAGTTCACAAGTTCTGAAGCTGACAAGTACCAAGTTATGACTATATCATGTACATCAGCAAAGAAAGTGTATGAACTACCATGCAAAGCACAGGACACTGTGCCCAGTCTCTATGCAGTATGGGGTGCTGGCTTTAGATTCAGACAAGACAGGTTTGAATCAGTTCTTTTTCTAGCTGAGTGATCTTGAACAAATGCCAGTCTCCACGAATCTCAATGTCCTCCTAGGTAAAAATGAATACACATACCTCATAGGATTTTTGTGAGGGTTTAAATCAAGTGAGAGCCTATCAAGCACCTGGCATACAGTACGTGCAAACTTAACTAGTTACTATAACATTGTTGAGAAAGTTATTAGACACACCCTTCTGGAAACACTGGAACTGGATTGGTGGAGAGGCTGAGGCAGACTCTGGGGGTCCGCTTCACCAGTCCCAGCCTGGGGGCACTGCAAGTAACACAGGGAATTGACCCACGATAAAATGTGAATCTGCCTCCTGGTTTTTGCTTCTTGACACTTAGCTACTGTTTTATTAGTCCCAATCCCCAGCTCTTGCCATAATGAGTTAATTGACTCCTCAGGGTCCTTAGAGATGGTAGTGTGGTCTCCATCACTTGCCAAACAAGAGTGCTCAGCAGATTCATAATATAAGCAGTCACAGGTACTGCCACCTTGGCTAAGGTTCAGATCGTCAGATCCATGTCTAGTGGCCCTCATATTATTCCATACTACACGTCAGTGGTGGCCTGGGATTGGAGCCTTTAAGAGAATTCATTCCAGTGCTTATGACATAGGTAGAAGAAATGTGCTTAGCCTCAGAATCTACTGCTAAGGCCAGGAACGTGTTCCTCAGAGGAGAGGATAGCAAGAAACTATCCAGAGAGGAAGGGAAACTGGAGACAACCAATGTGTCCCCTACAAGGTTCAAGAGCACCAGCCTCCAAAAAAAGGGAGAAGCTAGATCGGTGTCCATCACTTTGCAGCTATAAACAGGGTGCTTTGACCATGTTTCAAGTTGTGTGCACACCAGGGGGCTTCCTGGTTCAACACTTCCAAAAGAATGTAATGCTAAGTGGAGAATGGCTGCCACTATTCTCATAAACACCTCCCCTTATCAAAAAAAAAAAACTGCTGAAGTAGAACATGTTTCAAGATTGGAAACTCAATCTTTATAGGCAGGTCAGAACACTGATTTTGCCGTGCACAATAAATGATGTCATGAAGAGATGGGTATATGAGAGTCCGATCACTGCCTGAGCACACACTTGAACTTTAAAAGGCAAATGTGCTTTCCTCACCCATTTCAAGCACCAAAAATGAGGTTTAAAAGGGCTAGGAGAGACCTGGCGGTGTAGTTCAGTGGATTGAGCACAGGCCTGCAAACCAAACAACCACGGTTCAAAATTCCCAGTCAGGGCACATGATGTCTGGGTTGCAGGCCAGTTCCCAGCAGGGGATGCACGAGAGGCAACCATACACTGATATTTCTCTCCCTCTCTCCTTTCCTTCCCCTCTAAAGATAAATAAATAAAATTCTTTTTAAAAGGGGGGCTGAGGGGAGGACTGGGGAATGACTGTGTAAAGGGTCTCGGGTTTCTTTGCAGGACGATGAAAATGTTCTGCAGTTAGATAGTGCTGAGAGCTGCAAAACTCTGTGAACGTACTGAATGGTAACTTATGTGAATTTCATCCCAGTAAAAAGAAAGGTACTTTAATCACTGCCCTCAAGTTTAAGTCAGAACCATCCAGGGGAAGAGTAACAAACACCGACACAGGTACAGGAAGACCAGAGTTTTAAAATTCACATCTTAATGTCCCACATCTGGAACTGTCAAATCACCAACTAGCTGAAGAGGAGCATGAGGGGATTTGATTATTACTTATTGACACTGCTAGTTGCCTGTGCTCACGGCTTAGTCAACAATTGGTGTCACAGTACATTTTGTGTTATTATAATGAAAACAAAACTTAGCTTTGTCTGCAAAGTTTATTTCACAGAGCACACATTTATATGGAGGTATAACAGTAATTCAACACATGATGCACAGAAAACTCTCAGAACCATCATTAGGATGATTGTCTCTGCCTTCTTTGTAAAAGAACTAGTGTATAAAAATAGTTTTTAAATCTAAGGCACCAAGCTCTAACCTGTAACAAAGGTATAGTACTCTGAATAACAAAAAGAGTAAGAAAGAATAACTACTTCCATTTACTAATCCAACACTGGTGACTAGAAAACAACGTGGGCCTGCTTTGGACTATTTGTGACTCACCCCAAAACTCACTAGCATTACGACAACTAATCTGCATTTAGGTTTTAGTCAATGGTTTGAATCAGGACTCCATGCATTTTGGTAAACATATATCCTGTGTGTGTGTGTGTGTGCATGCATGTGTATGTCTATGTGCCTAGCTATCACAAGGACTGAATAATGCACGTCTCCTGTATTTACTTGCAGCCAATGGCTATAGAAAGGCAAGCAAATTTTGGTCCCACATCCCATGCCAGAATGTATACTGAAGGGCAGGACTGGAGAGCATAAACTGAAAAACATTATATACCGTAAACATACCCCACCACACAACAACCAAATACTGCCTTATGTACACAATACAAATAATACACATTTCTGTAGATAAACCTCAATAGGTACTTCAAAAGGAAATACTGACAAGAACACAAAAGATGCTAATTGTTCCAAGATCACGCTCTCTAGGACTCCCATCATTTAGAGATATCAGTGCTTGTGTACTCAGCTGGCAGGGTTAGAAATACACACACATGATAAAGTATGCTTTCCTCTCTTCTGCAACCACTAGTGCTGTTACATTAGAAATAATCCAACAAAACTGTTGTGAGCAATCTTGAGTCCCTCACATAACTCATTATGTTCACTACAAGATCAGACATTTTTAATTACTTAATTACTGTAACTGTTAAATACAATAAACATTATTTTAAACATTATTTCCAATATGTACTGACAGAAAATTATTTTTTTAGAAGTTCAAGAGGTACTATTTTATAAAAACACCCGTGATGCACACTCAAACGTGTTGGCAGGAAAATACAAACATGAGAGACCATGGAGACAAAAACACTATTTAATCAGAACCCTTTCTTATGCTCAAGAGTCAAGATAAAATGAGGGAGCATCTTCTCAGACCTGCTAAAATGACTTGTTTGGTGTTTTCCTTTTTGAGGATGGTTATTTTCTTTGCCTGGTTCAGGCAGAAGTGGAGAAACTTCATGTGATGGGCCTGGAAGTTGAAACCCAGAGTGGAGGATAAATTTTCTTCCAGGCTGAACGAGGTTTACATATCTGACGAGAGGGAAGAAGAAAAGGAACATTAGTAGAGAAGAAGATGCTGGTCACACAGCAACTGGGCCTTGGCCTTCCTCTGTTCAGGGTGGGCCAGGGACCCTCAGCAGCCCCCTGGAGATGCTGACACACTGGTGCCTTTAGAAATGTCCATATCCTCAACCTCCAAATGACTCCATGCTGCCTGTGAATTTCAAAGAGAGCACTCAAGGATAGAAAGCCAAAGCCGTTTTGGTTTTGGAAACACAGGTTGACAGGCAAATTCCACAGACCTCACAAACCCTCTGCCCTAAGTGATAACGTGCATGCTGTCAAGCAGCCAGTGGATCAGGAGCTCAGAGGAATCAGAGGGATCTATCTGGAGTGTGAAAGAACCTACTTTGTATTTTATCTGGCAGAACACGCAGAACATAAAAATTAGAATCAAGTCATTTACTCTCTAAAAACTAACTTGATGGAAGACTCTTTGACATCAACTTAGCTTTTAAACCCACCACTGTCTTTCCCCTAACCTCCAAAGTTACATGGTGCCAAGATGGCCTGGAACAGCAGGAAGCAGAACTGTTCGGGGTCACCTGACTTGCAAACAAAATGAAGATGAGATAAAGCCTTACCTGATGAAGCAGAATCAGATTTGTTTCTATCTTTGTCTTCTAAAGGTATCTGGGAACTTCGGTAGAATGTTATGGAACCTTTCAGATAGTGCTTTTGGCTATCAGGAAGACTATCAGACACAAGTGGCTCGATCTCGTTGGTGATACCTAGTATTTGGTCATGTGTACTTTCGTGTGACACTGACTGTAAACTTCCGGGTGATTCCACGGTGTTGCTGGTTTCCCCAGCCTTTTCAGTTTTTGTTACTTGGTTCATAATTGTGTTGGTGGATAGCCTGGAAGGAGATGTTTTTGTCAGAATCCTAATCACTCCCAAACCAGGGCTTTGTCCCGAAGGAAATTTCAAGCTTTAATTTAAACTTTTCAGAAATGAATGCCTTGGAAGTAAATAAACTTTCAGAAGGATAAAATGGGAAGGCCGGAAGCGACCCTGGAGATCACACTGGGTTTCAAACTGTCCTATGAAGTCCTAGGTTTCATGGACAAGCTGAGGGACTCAGAGCACTTAAGTGTGAAGGCTCCAAAAACCTTGTGCCTACAGCAAGCTGACCCGGGACGTGGCCAGTAAGGTGGAGTGAGGGCTAACGTGGGTTTTCTAGCTCCAGTGCTCTTTCCACACCATCACTATGCCTCTTAGCAAAGTGTTTTCATGGGTCTTGTAGGTTAATGTCTTTCAGCCAATCACTCTAAGAGCCTTCCTTTCTTAGAATCTGTTCCCACTCTTCAGACATAACCTCTGGCCATCAGTTTCTCCACATGTAAAATGAGCTCATCAATATGGAACTCAGAGGTGCAATGAGAATTAAAACAGGTCATGTAAAATGCCTCGTATATAGCAGTCACTCAATCAATGACCCCCTTCCCTGATTTTACGAGACAACATTAACCAGTGTGAACAAAAGCACATTTTTGAGTCGGATGTATCGGGGTGTGAATCTGGGCTCTTCTCTGGAAAAGTGTATTATTGCACAAATAAGACACATAATCCCTCCATGCCTCAGTCTCCTTATCGGGGATGCTAGTCCTTACCTAACAGGACTGTTATGGGTATCAGTTCACTTCTGTAAGTTAAGTGCTTGACACAAACTAAGAGCTCAGTCAATAATCGCATGTATCATTCTAAGAATGTCAATCATAATGCCACCAAGTTTACTCTGATAAGCTCACTGAGTAACTCACCTGATACCCTTGGCCTGAGCCAAAGGGTCTTTCACCTTTTGTCTTAAGTTTTTCACGTCACTTTTTAAAGATGTTTTTTGTACTGAATAAACTTTGTCTGAATTGACATCTAGAAACAGCAGCCTGGGTATGCGCTTCACATTTGTAAAGCTTGCATTTGGTTTTCTAAATGGACTCATGCCACCTGTACTGGCTAGAAAAAAAAGAAATAAGATTAAAACTGCAGTTTCTACAACAAAGACAAGAATGAAGGCTGTGATAAGGATGTCTGTCTGATGTCAGGAAGAGTCACGGGCAGTGACTAGAGAAGCAGGTCTGGCAGCCCCCACGCTGCTCTACTTTACACAACCATGGTCTGGGCTGCTGCCCAGAACACCTGTCCACCCTACTCTCAAAGCACAAAGGGGCTACCTTTAAGAAGCTTACCCTCTCCCTTGGCAGGAAAGAATGCCAGGCCAGAGGACGGGACTGCACCATCCTTCTTACGCCTCCTCCTGGTCACCCACCTAGCCAAATCCCCTCTTTTATTTCAGTCTCACCTTCAGTGCTGCCTCCTGCCCTATCCAACACCCTAAGGCAGACTCTACACCTACCCTGCTCCTACTGTTATGTTCTCGTTGCATCTTGGCCAAACTTCCTTTAGTGCAACCACTTTGTAGCAGTATCACTGTTTGCTAATGTGTCTTGCCTCCCTGCTGGCTATGGTTCCTGAAGGCTGAGGGCCCTGTCTTCATCTCTGTATCCCTGTAACTAGTAGACAACCTGATTTGCATGTGGGATAAAGGATAGACAAAGAGTGTTTTCTCAGATGCCAATTACTGATGACATAAAGCGGTTCCTGACTCATAAGGAAATCGATGACACATTTTCCAGGGCACTCATAATCATGAAATTATTTTAATTTTCCTCAATGACGTACAAAAGAGCATTCCCCCTGTGGCCAATCATGGATATCTCAGAAGGTCCTGAGCTATGAAATGCTAGTACTCACACTCAGCTGAGAAGGAGCTGCCATCTATAGTCTTTCAGCACAGCCTGTAAAATAACAATAGCTGCAGAAGCAGCAACTAATATTTGCTGGCAGTTCACCATGTGTCAGGCACTATTCTCTTAGCATTACAGAGATTATCTCACTGAAACCTCTTGGCCACCCTCGGAGGACAATACCTTGCTTCCCCTTTTTCACACAGGAAAACTGAGCACACACACAGATTAAGTAACTTGCCCACAGTCACACAGGTCAGAAGCAGAGGATTCCTTGGATGAACCTAGGCAGTCTAGCTCTTATATAGTGACTACGAAAACTCAAAAGGCAAGCAAACCTGGTAGATCAAAATAATCTGTGTCATCACTCTCAGACTCATCCTCATCATCTGCCTCATGTTCCTTGTATATGTCAGTGCCGACTGTTTGTACAACCTATGACGAAAAAAGAAAATCAAGGTTAAATAAATATTCAATCATCCTAACTTAGTTATTTCAAAGAAGACCAATTTCAATTAAAAGATTTTTAGAAATCTACTCTTGGGCCCCCAAAATCTATAGGATATAGGACAAATGGCTCTAATGGTGTCTTTCAGGTAAGGAAAGACACTCAAGAATGAAAGACTTCTTGTCCCAGTAGCCAAGGGACAAGAGCTTTGGGTTGGCATGAGCTCTCTCCCCACTCCAAGTTCGAACTAAGGGAAAGTGGAGACAATTGGTGAATAACTACACAAGTTCTTGGCTACTGCTTGAGGTGAACTTCTCAGGCCAACGGGCTGAATCATCTTTGAGACGGTGTCTCCCAGAACTTTTCAGAAATGGTATTTCTATTCTAAATTTTCATGGCATGAGTGACCACAACTGGGCAATGGTAAACAGGCACAGCATGACTTTTGTAGCACAGAAGGCAAAGGACATAGAATCTGGAGAAAAAGACCTTGAATGCCTGTGATCCATTAAAAGATAAGGGCAGTTAGGCAAATACTTATGAGACAGACTCCCCAAAGAAGTAACCATACAGGAAAAATGTGCTAAGTTTGAGTTTATTCACATGAACTTCTGTCCATCACAAGACATTATGAAAAAAAAGGCATTATGAGAGTGTTGGACAAACTACAGTATGGGAACTGACACCTGCAATACATATATCCAACGGGCTCATAACCAGAGCAGGTAAAAACTCCTGCAGATCAATCAAAACGGCAGGCAAACCAACAGAAACATAGGCCAAGGACTTAAAAAAGCACTTCATGAAAGGAAATATCCAAATGGCCAATAAGCATATGAAAAGGTAGCCAAATCCATTAGTCATAAAAAATATCGGTAAATTCAACAATGTGAAAATGAAGACAGAATTAAGAAAAGACAAGGCCATAAAGTGGGCGATGCTATCTGCAACACATATAACCAAGAGAGAAGTAGAATCTAGAACATTTACAGAACTACATATTAGTAAGAAAACGACAAATCAGCCCCAAATTTCTGGGCAAAATACCTACATAAGCATTTCACACAAGAAAACAAAAAACAGGAAAGCTAACTAAAGATCTGAAAAACATGTTCAACCTTTTCAATAATCAAGAAAATGCAGTGTAATACTTGATTTTATTACCACCAGATTGGCAAAACTGAAGAATGTGAAGCAACAGGAAATATACACTGCTGGCAGGAGCACAGAGATTACCTTTGAGGTATTCAAATTTGTCTTTCTTGTCCGCTTCATAATTTCATCAAATCTCTAAAGAAAAACACAATTTCAAACAAGAAACATTAAATACCAAACAGTGGTCCCAAAGAAGTTGATATCCATTTTCCAGAAGTGGAGAGTACCAGTAGCTGCTCCAAAGCCACAGACTTAATGGACACAAGACCTTGGGCAACAGTTGAATTCCTTTTTCTAGTCCAGGTCTCAGTCATCTAAAAAACACCTTGAATGGTGATAATTGTACTTGTTACAGTAACTCAGACATCCAAATGATTCCTTACTCTTCATTTTTCAGACTTTGAAATTTATTACTTAAACACACATTATTACAAAACAATTAGAATTTTTAAACATAATTTTAGTCTGAATAGACCATATCTGAGGCTGATGTTAATGAAAAGAGTATACACCCAGGTACAAAATTGTCAGAGCTTTTGTTACTAGAAAAAGCACACGCATAGAAGGGATAAAAATTCTTTCCCAGTGTACACTTCTTCCCTTGTAAGTGAGAACTACAATTCTTTGGCCTCCTCAGGGTGATGAATCTGACAGAGGACTTGCAGCACCTCAGCCAGGGTCAAGTCCCTTCCTTGCTCCCAGATGAGGCACATGAGTTACACAATGTGAGGTCCTACCATACAAATCATCTGCACCTTGGCCTCTCAGAAAGACCTGTACTTTCTGCTTCTTCCCACTCAGTTGCTACAATTTCTAGCCCAAATTAGAAGAAAACCAAATTTCCATCAACCCCTATCATGATCTGAGTAACTGATCAAAGCAGCTTTGTTCCTAGAGGTTTGCTATATTGAAACATCACTCTAATGGCCACCAATGGTCCATTAGGGAGAGGTATGGTCAATAAAAGGAGACTCTGCTAGGTAGGAGAGGTCAGATCCTTGGATAAGGAAGAAGACAGTAGCATGGTAAAAACAACCAGGGCCTGGCATATCACTTATTTGTGATTTTCAAAAACAGGTTTTAATATCATGTGCATAACATTGTTTTAAACAAAGAATCAAACCCCCACAACAAAGACAGAGAGAGAGATTACCTTTTTTCTTTCTGATCTTTCTTGTAAATTCCATAGCACATGTTTTTCCTGCTCCTTCTTGTGTTTGTTGGCCTCCTCCTGAGCTTTTCTTTTGGTGTCCCCTTTCTAGGAAATTTGTATAAAAATGTTTCATCTCAATATATCTGAATGACTTCAGACACTAGTTTCAAATTTTTAAACAATAAATTGTTATCCAGTGTAACAAGGATGTAACCTTTTGATTGAGAGTGCCAATAACACATATGGACTATCAGTTTTCAAAGCATTACTTAAAATGTACAAAACCAGGCTAACTATTATCTTGAGCATTTAGAAGGCATGTGTTAGTCCTCTCCAGAAACTTGGGGTTATCATTAATAGTTACAAAGAATGGAAATGATTGCATAGCTATCCATTAACATAGCAATAGAACTCAAGTCTTACACTTCTCAAAAGCACCAAGAGGATTGTTAAAGGCACCTTCTCCAGGAATCCAAATGTATACAATCATTTATATATACATAACTGATTTTGATAAATGATACACTAAAAGTGTAATGTAAACTAGGCTATTCAAACTTAGTTTGGGGAATTATTTACCTAGTGATTCGAATTTACATGGGTTAAACATTCTTATTGGTGAATTGATGACTTTAAACTTTTAGAGGTATTTATAATTTCTATCTTTATCTGTCGGGTAGATGTAGGGTGCAATTTTGAGTGTCACCACAGAATGCAAGATTGGGAAAATCCTACATTTAGTATGTTTAAACTGTGTGAGTGGTTTGGATTCCCTGAAACCAAGCTGCAATATTGTTTATGTGGACGAACTAAAGAACAGCTAATCTGTAATTTGCTTTCTGCTTTTGTTTCCCTTGATAAACACTCTAGGATTTTGCCAAAGGTGGCTGAGAGTGACTTACAGTAAAGTGGGATTATTAGCTCGCTAGACTGAAATGTAAAAATGCAGCCACAGAAGGCAGCATCTGTTTATCTTCCTTCTTGGAGAATTACACTTTTGCCTTGGGTTTCAACCGAATTTTATAACCTAGTTCTCATCCTCTGATAAAGTGCAGAGCCAACAAACCTGTAACAGCACTTTCTGGTTTTGCTGGTCCGGACATCTTTTCTTCTTATTTATTTTCTTTTGTCGTTGCTCATTGTCAAATTTTGAGAACACTTCTTGGCCATCCACTTCTTTCTTTGCCATGTCTATCTCTTTCCTAATGATGCAGAATATTTAAATAACTCTTGGTATTTCTCTTGGTCTCTATTATACACAGCTTGCAGTAAGTACAATTTATATTTACACCAGATTCACTACATTTTCTGTGTTTTTACTCCACACGATTTGCACACTTTCACCTTTTTTAAATGGGGGAAACTAGCCCTTGGGAGAAGAAGATTTCAATTGAGTGGTGAGCTACTTTGTATCTTAAAACACAAGAGAGACAGAAGAAAGACAGAATATCACTCCTCCTTAACCGTTTTAGACAGATGTGGCTCTCTACTTACACATGTGGGTGTGATAGGGGTAATTTCGAGGAGGGTCTGATAGTGCCCAGAGGTAGAAAGCCCAGTCCACAAAGATCAGTATTTACCATTTTTAAAATGCAAAGTCAGGTCTGTTTACATAAGGCAATGAATAACTGTCTTCAAATTATAGGTTTTTTGCTCTCCACATAATTGCCTTCTCCTTTTCCCCAAAGCCATATTATAAAGTACTTGGAAAGCATGTGATTATACTTACAAAACACTTAATATTTAAAAACAAACTCAGGCCCTGTCTGGTGTGGCTCAGTTGACTGAGTGCTGGCCTGTGAACCAAAATGTCACCAGTTCGATTCCCAGTCAGGGCACATGTCTGGGTTGTGGGTCAGGTCCCCAGTAGGGGGTGTGTAAGAGGCAACCACACATCCACACACTGATGTTTCTCTCCCTCTCTCTCTCCCCCTCCCCCTGTGTAAAAGTAAGTAAATAAACAAATAAATAAAATCTTTAAAAAAAAGTTAGCCAGTGAACAGAGGTTTATATTCCAGGGTCCGAACTAGAATGGGCCTCAAGATGGAGGATCAAGAGCCTTGGCTGGTACAGCTCAGTGGATTGAGCACAGACTGCAAACCAAAGAGTCACTGGTTCGATTCCCAGTGGGGGCCATGTGACAGGCAACCACATACTGATACTTCTCTCTCTCTCTTTCTCCCTTCCTTCCCCTCTCTAAAAATAAATAAATAAAATCTTTTAAAATAAGATGGGAGGATCAAGAAAGCCTCTAATTGAGTCAGAATGCACACAACTGTACAAGACATCTGCTGCCCACAGGAAATTCTTCCAAATGATTGATGAGATTCAGGTGTCCCAAAGGTCACTGGAAAGCACTATTATGAAAACGCAAAGAAGTATACAATCCAGGTTTACAAACTATAAAGTTACAAAAGACTCTTGAAAAAGATAGGAGCTGACACCAGTGAATGCCAACAGAAACAGTCTTGTGTGATTACTCAGGTGCCATCACTGAGATCCGGGATCCTGACAGGAGTTTTGGTTTCTGTATGTGTCTTTATGACACACTTTCAAGCGAAACAATGCATGAAGATAAAAGGGGCCTGTCCCACCCATGTCCTCTTTTTGCTTGAGATGCTTCCCACACTCATTTCTGATTCATGCTCAAGAAAAAGTCCATCACCTTCTGAAAATTCATAATACATCGAATTTGAGGGCAAGTTTTGACTTTCAAACTTCAGACCCAGCCAAGACTGATAGCATAGAAAGGATGATACTGTGCTGACCTTTGCTCCATTTCTTTCTGTAGTTTTTCTTCTTTTTCTCTCTGTTCATGAGCAAGGTGTTTTGCTGCCAAAATGTTTGTTTCCTCCTCAGCACTCATAATCCCTTGTGAGCTCTTACCCACAGTCTCTAGTTTAAAGTCACATGGAGAACAGTTAGTTCAGAGAACTTAGTACCTCTCAGTCCAATAAAGAGGTGTAAGACAACCAAAAACATTAAAAATAGTATGTATACATGCTCTAAAATTTATAAAAAGTGATCCGTGACTATGTAACACATTATGTTCAAAACCCCAACTCCTCAACAAGTAGCATTTTTTCTTTTTAATAACTACTTGTTCCAAAATGAAATGATGTACTCTTCCCTCCTACTTTGGTTTAACTCTTTTGAGATACCTTACTAAATGGACCCTATGGGAAAAAAGATTTATACTGAATATAGGGGAAATCAAACTTATATTTAGTCGAAATCAAGTGTGCAAATCTTAAATACTTGATTAAATGAAAACACTAAATCCAGCATACATTTTTAAATTTGTTCATCATTTTTACTAAATAATTACTGTCTAGCTCACCATTGATAATAGTGTATTATGATATTTGATTGCTCATAAACTGGGTAACTGCAGATAGCCAAAGAAACCAAGAGTATCATATCAGTAACATAGGTGACGGCAGGAAGGCATGATAATATTTAATCCATATGATTAATTTATTTTAAATAAAGCACATATAAACATGTGAGTTGTAAGATATCTAGAATGAGTAATTTATAATAAGATTGTTCTACCCTGGCTGGTATAGCTCAGTGGATTGAGCTCGGGCCTGCGAACCACATGATCGCAGTTTGATTCCCAGTCAGGGCACATGCCTGGGTTGCAGGCCAGTTCCCAGCAGGGGACTCATGAGAAGCAACCATACGTTGATATTTCTCTCCTTCTCTCTCCCTCCCTCCCTCTCTAAAGAAAATTAAATCTAAAAAAAAAAAGATTGTTCCTGTTAGAAAAATTCACTGTGAAATTCCTTCAAAAAGCAACATTCCTCAAGATATATTTAAAATGAAGCAAAAGCCCTGGCTAGTGTGGCTCAGCGGATTAAGCATCAGCTTGAGAACCAAAAGCTCACCAGTTCAATTCCCAGCCAGGGTACATGCCTGGGTTGTGGGTCAGGTCCCTAGTTGGGGGCATTTGAGAGGCCACTGATTGATGTTTCTTTCCCTCTCTTTCTCCTTCCCTTCCCCCTCTCTAAAAATAATTTTAATTAAGCAATATCTGGATATTGACAACAGATCAACAGGCAAAATATCAATACGGTAGTTTCAGGAACGCACATACTGCCTAGACATGTTACAGCTTATGTGTGGCCACTGACCTACAGGTCCTGATGGAAACTTGTTCAGCCATTCCTAAAACCATGCACTCTCAGAGCTGGAAGGGACAGCAAGGATCACCTGGGCAATGCATTCACCTAACCAGTACTTAAAATACCAGTTCCAAAAATGGATTTTCCAAAAACAAGGGGATAAGGGTAAACAAAGTCTGACAAGGAAAAGTAAGCACTGTGCCAGTGACTGGTTAAATCCTCTATCTAAAAGAAAGCTCACTCCCAAAGTTACCTGAATTGGAGAATAAAGTTAACCATTCCCATATCTTAACATTTGCTATGTTGCCAAAATATAAACTCAGTGAAGGAACTTACCTTCACTGGTCACGCACTTTTGGCTCACAGCCTCAGAGCTGATAGTGGTTTTAGAAACTGATTCTTTTTTCCTTCTGATGGTATCTAATACATTTTGTGCATATAGGTCATACTGAACAGGAAGTGCTTTACAGGAAAGCGCAGATTGTGCTGGTTGTTTTGCCATGACCAGAAAAAAAGATGGTGGATAGTTCTTTTGGCTTTGCCTACTGAGAAAAAGTTATAGTTAATGGGGAAAATCTGATATGATTTTGTAATTTACATGTGCTGATTAATTCTCAGTGTACTATTTAATAAAATGCGTTATGTGTTCATGATATTTTATAATATACAAAGGAAACCCTTTGTCTGTTAGGTTTTTTATTTATATTTACATTACCATATATATTATTTCAATTATGAAACACTGATATAAAATTTATCCTGGTAAAATACGTATCAGAAACACTGCAAATAAGCTACTTACTTAGCACTGAAGGGATAGGACGAACACCATCCACTTGCAGATGGCCATCTAGAAACTGGTACCTGTGTCAATGCGCGCTTCTTTTTGGGTTTTGATTTCTGCAGTGATAAATACAACCAGATAAGAAATTACTAGCAATAACTACAGCTGGCTTTTCTAAGAAAAAATATTCTGAATAATACACAATTATAGCTTCTTAAAACTCCTAATTATGAGAATTACTACAGAGAGATGTTCTTCCAGACTAACAATTCATATTACACAATTAGAACAAAACATAGAGATAATTAATTTAAAAGAAATCTTTTACTTGAAAGCCTAATTCTATTTCTAAATCCTAATTTAAGTGTTTGCAATATTTCTCAAATTTTTTTTCTTCAGAATTTAAAAGCACAGTTCATATAAACTCTTACATCTTCTCCTTTCTACTGAAAATTAGTATTTTACCTTTGGGGGAAATGGGTACAAAGAATATCAGAAATTTAAATCATCAAACTGACTTACCCTATTTTATTCATTTTATTGCTGAATGCTGTAAATCATAAGTTGTTTATATTGGGAAACTTGACCTATCACATCATCTATACAATTAAACAGATTTTAATAGAAGGTCAGTCAATAAACAGCACTTGACAAACCTGTGGAGTGCCTCTAACTTTCACCTTGGAAGATGTTTCCACACCCACTGTAGGGCATGACTCAGGGGGTACTTTCACATTTGCAGTAGCAGGCTCCTCCATGGACTCCTCCGGGATTGTTTCTAAGCTTTCCTCATGAATCATTTTCATGTTAGCCTTGTGTAACAATTCCATGGTTGCCTCAGTTGATGTTTCCATGCTCACCTCTGGAGATGAGTCGAGGCTCACCTCAGAGGACGAATCCATGCTTACTTCGGGGGACGGATCGACGCTCACAAGAGACACATCCTCACTCCCCACAGGTGATATTTCAACGCTGTCAGACAGTGTTTCCACGCTCACTTCTGGGAATGCTTCCATACTCACCTTGGGGGTTGCTTCCATACTTGCCTTGGGGGCCACTTCCAAACTCCCCTTGGGGGCTGCTTCCACACTTGCCTCAGCCTTGGGGGCCACTTCTGCACTCCCCTCAGGGGGTGCTTCAAGGCCCACTTTGAGGGGTGTTTCTTCTTTTTCCTGGGGAGATATTGCCACTGTTGACTTGCAAAGCTCTACAGTATTCTTCAATTCGTCACTGCTAGGGCTAAGCAAGGGCATGTCTGCATACTGCATTACAGGGTTGTGGACACCTATGGGTGAGTGAGGAGAAAGAATAAAATTTCAGTTAGAAATTTCACAACACAGAAATGCACCTATTCTCCAGAATAGGAATAGAAAAGAGACAGAGGCTATATTGAGAAGGAAATGACAAGGATTACACACATCACTAAAGTGTTTAGTGAAATGAATCACATACACAGGACAGAAGCATGGCAAAATTGGTGCACTGGTAAGCACCACCACCAATAGAATCACCGTGAAAGCAATAATCCATTACACATGAAGATAAGCTGCTTCTCCAAATTGATGTTTGCAATAGCCATTTCTATTTTAATCACACTATAGTGCAGAATGATTTTCATACAAAAAAACTGCAAGATATTATATACTTTTTAATAGTCTAAACAACTTCACCAGGGCCAGGGAAGTTACTGTTACAGGTGATTATGCAAGACACTCTAATACAGGATTATTTTAGAGTAGAATATAAAAAAGAACATTTTGTTAACCATACTAAAAATTGAACATTTGCAACAACATGGATGAATCTTGAGAATATCGTGCAAAGCAAAATAAATATGATGGGGAAAGGACAAGAACCATGTGATTTCACTTGTGAGTTATAAAACAGAAAGCAATAAATGAACAAACAAGTAAATAAAACATCTCACTGACACAGACAACAGTATGGTGGTTACCAGGAGGGAAAGTGGGTAAGGGGAGGTTGAAGAGGGTAAAGAGAGTCAAATATATGGTGATGGAGGGAGACTAAACTGTGGGTTGTAAGCATACAGTACTTTGTACAGTTTATATATCATAGAATTATATACTAGAAACTTATTAAACAATCTCATCCCAATAAATAATTTTTAAAAATTGAAATAAGATGTTAATCAGAATGGGCTGGATCTCCAAGGTCTCTTCCAGCTTTAATGATCTAAGTATGTTTTGGTTAATAATGAACCAAAATGATAATACTTGGTACCAATTTTGGGGACCAGGCAACTTCATAAACTGCTGGTGGGAATGTGAATTTGCATAAGCTCCTTGGGGGCCATTTTGGCAATCATGTATCAAAAGGCATTTTAAAAAGTACATATTATGAACAATTAAAATAAAATTTAAAAAGTACATACTATTTGTTGCAACAAATTTACTTCTAGTTTTATACTTAGAAAAATAAGATAAATAAAAATGTATTTATAAAGTTACTGAGAGCATTTTTATAATATTGAAATAATACAAAATATAATGCAACTATTCAACAAAAAATCTGGATTATAGTAAGACAGTCATTAAGAGTAATAGAATTTTTGGACATAAAAGTAACATACACTGAGTTTAAACAAAAGCAGGTTATGATCCTATTTTGTGGGGGGGGAAAAACCCACAAAGAAAAATATGCTGTTAAACATTTTTTAAAAGGTAATTGTTGGTGGCTTTCTTAAGACATGGTAAATTTGCCCTGGCTGGTGAGTGTATCACTGGACTAAGTGCCAACCTGGGAACCAAAGGGTGGCTGGTTTGATTCCCAGTCATGGCACATACCTGGGTTGGAGGCCAGGTCCCTGGTGGGGGGCACATGAGAGGCAGCTACACATCTGAGGTTTCTCTCCCTCCCTTCCCCTCTCTCTAAAAATAAATAAATAAAATCTTTAGAAAAAGAATAATTTTGCAAAAGACATAGTAAATGTGTCACATTATCTTTAAATATGGGTGGAGCCCTGGTTGGTGTAGCTCAGTGGATTGAGTGTGGGCTACAAACCAAAGGGTTGCCAGTTCGATTCCCAGTCAGGGCACGTGCCCGGGTTGTGGGCCAGGTCCCCGGTGAGGGCCACGTGAGAGGCAACCACACATTCATGTTTCTCTCTTTCTTCCTCCCTTCCCCTCTCTCTAAAAAGTAAATAAAATCTTTTAAAAATAAACAAATATGAGTGGAAATTTTATATGATCTTATCAAATAATAAAAATAGAACAAATTATAAAAAGACTACTTATGAGTAGAAAATTTGACTAAATTAAATGTTCTTTTTTAGTCTCTCACTTTTGGTAGAGAAAGCATTTTATTTATTTATCCACATGTGCCTAGAGTCCCATTATTTAGCACAGACAGTTTGTTACAAAATATATAATATATTTATTGTATTATAATAAGTATAACTAAATTTCTATTAGTTATAGAATTTAAGACAAAATGTTGAGATGGGAGTAGCGTATACATTTTATTTTATATATAAAATAAAATATATATACATAAATATATTACTCCTATCATACATATTTTTTAGTTTAATATATTAAACTAAATGAAAGTAATTAAAAGTATCCAATTGAAGGGAGTCTGGCAAATAATAATCTGATATACATATAACTAGGAATAAACAAAGCCAGGAATTCACCCTGGTGTGGCTTAGTGGATTGAGTACTGCCTATGAACCAAAGGGTTGCCGGTTTGATTCCCATCAGGGCACATGCCTGGGTTGTGGGCCAGGTTTCTAGTTGGGGGTGTGGGAGAGTCAACCACACAGTGATGTTTCTCTCCTTCTCTTTCCTCCTCCCTTCCTCTCCAAAAATAAATAAATAAATAAATATTTAAAAAAAGAAAAAAAAGCCAGGAATTCAAACCAAAAGATGCGCCACCAGAAAGTGAGAACATTTTAATAATCAAATGAAGAGTGATTAGAAAAGGGGATGGGTTATATTCTGGAAATGAAAAAGTGGAGAAAAAAAGAGAAAAACAAATGCTGGGATCAGTGTTAGACCTCTCCATTACTGAGGACATCTAACTACCCAATTATATGTAACCTAGAAATGAAAAAATCCACAACACTGAAAATGTGTTTTATTTTACTAACAATCTTTATGTTCTCAGTAAGACAAATACCATATAATTTCACCTATAACTGGAACCTAATCAACAAAACAAACAAACAAGCAAAACAGAACCACAGACATTGAAATTAAGAATTGACAGTAACCAGAGGGGAGCTGGGAGAGATAATGGGGGGAAGGGAAAAGTGTTTTGAAGAACATGAATGAAGGACACATGGACAAAGCCAAAGGGCACAGGGTCAAAAGAGGGGGCTGGGAATAGGTGGGGTGGGGGGAAAATGGAGACAACTGTACTTGAACAACAATAAAAAAAGCTAAAGAGCAACTCAACATTATTCTCCCACATTTTAACAACAACAAAAAGGGTGCAGTAGGAATCTTCCTTCCTTGATATTAAGTTTTTCTATACTTTTAAAATCCAGTACTTTTTACAGTACAGTGACACACTTAAGCACAGGTCAAACAACCCATAAAGATTTATAATTTAACAACCATCACCAAAATTACCTGTCTCATCCTATAAATTAACTATCGCCCAAATACTACTCTACCATGATAGAAGTCATAAAATAAATGCACAACATAAAATGTTGAATAAAATCACTCACTTTGAAGCTACTGATTCAAATTATTTTCATTCCTTACTGCAACAAATTAAGTGACACAACCTACTTTTTAACTGCAAATACTAACACTTTCCAGCTTTCTACCCTATGCCTACCTACGTACGACCTGGAGTACCTTTTCCAGGAAATGATAATGAAGCAGCACTTTTGCTCCTCACTATTGATGCTTTTGTTGGGGTGATCAGGCACATGATTAAATCATTCTCCCAAAGATCAGTGTATAGTTGCTGAACTAAATAATGAGAATAAAAATGATTCAATTTGAGACCTCACAAATAAATGCTAAGCACAATCCCCTCAAAACAACATAAACTGCTGCCAACAACTTTCCTGGCCAAAAAGTACAAGCAGTAAGAACAACACATACATAATATGAACAATACCACCTGAAAAGACTGCATTATTAGGAAAGTACCTGAATAAAGGGACAAAGGCCCCAGCATACCATGACAATAGCAATGAAGGAATCTAGATAATATACTTAAAAGAATCATACTCAACAGATAGTCTCTACGGAGCAACTCACATACGGACAAAAAAGTTAAAAATGACAAAACAATTTTGCTAACAATAATACTGATCAGTCCATTGCCAAAAACTCCAAGGGACTGACAGAATTCTTTGCTAAAAATGAATCTTGTTGTAAGTATATTGCTCCAATAAATTTTTATGCTCTTTAAGATCCCTGTGACAATGATTTTGACCTGAATCAATGAAGTAAAGAGTCTCCAGTGAGTGAATGGATTGGTATGAAACAAAAAGCAACAATAATGTTTGACAGGGGAGTCAGGGGGGGAAGGTGTTAAAGAAACTACTTCAAGAAGTATTAATTGTGAAATTTTACATGTAATAATCAGCGGGAAAAACATGCACAAAGGATGAATGTGGGGTAATGTTATGAAGCAACAGAGCAAAACTTCAAAGTTCAAAATGTGGCCGGGTATTTTGAACTTCTAAATGCACACTGATGAAATGTTTTAATGGAATCAAGTCTTCCAGTAGAAAACTCTTTCAGTATCTGCCATCTAGTTTACCAGCTTCATGAAAGACCCCTTGCTCAGATGATCACAAAACTATGTATTTCATTTAAAGATAAGCTATTCTGGCTTTGGCAGAACAAGCATGGCACCAAAGTACATTTTTAGTTAAGGATATTTTGGCTTCTAATTTTAGGAGTGATTTTTCAAGCAACTGAATGTTTACATACATATATCTCTTTTAAGTAGCAATACATATATTGCTACTTAAAAATAACCACTTTATTTTCCTTCTACATGTTCGGCTTCTGTAGGTGAATGTAATTTGCTATATATTCTACTCAAAGGTAAACATCCTTTCTGGGTTTTTTTTTTCTGGAGATGAAAAGCAAAGGAATATTATTTTTCACAAACTGCTTAAATATATTATTTGGGTACTGAGCCACTCCTTTTTTCAAACATTTTCTATCCTCTCTGCACTTGCTTATAAGCATTTAAATTTCAAATATTATATAGAGATTCTACATCCCCAAACTTAAAACTAGTTTAAATAAGTTACCTAAAATGAAATATTGAACAACAATGAAAAATGGAACAATACCACCTGAAAAGGTGGGAAAAAAACCCACAATGAGATACCACTTCTCACTGGTCAGAATGGCCATCATAAACAAATTAACAAACAACAAGTGACGGAGACAATGTGGAGAAAAGAGAACCTTAGTATATTGTTGGTGGGAGTGCAGACTGGTGCAGCCACTTGGAAAGCTGTATGGAACTTTCTCAGAAAACTAAAAATGGAACTGCCTTTTGACCCAGTCATTCCACTGCTAGGATTATATCCTAAGAATCTCAAAACACCAATTCAAAAGAACCTATGCACCCCAATGGTCATAGAAGCACAATTTACAATAGCCAAGTACTGGAAGCAACCTAGGTGCCCATCAGTAAATGAATGGATCCGAAAACTATGGTACATTTACACGATGGAATTCTATGCAGCAGAAAGAAAGGAGCTCCTACCCTTTTCAACAGCAATGGATGGACCTGGACAGCATTATGCTACATGAAATAAGCCAGGTGGTGAGGGGCAAATACCATATGATCTCACCTTTAACTGGAACATAATCGACAAAACAAATAATCAAGCAAAATATAACCAGAGACAGTGAAATAAAGAACAAACTGACAGTAACCAGAGGGGAGGAGGATGGGGGTAATGGGGGAAAGAAGGGGAAGGGTCATCAAGGAAATGTACAAAGGACCCATAAAAAAAATAAAATGAAATAAAAATATTTAGAAAATGATAAAAATTAGAAGGGTTAATATCTGATACTACCTAACATCAAATTCTCAAATTAGGAATGCACCACCTTTAATTGTGGACTTAAGCCATGACACCTATAACTAAAGTAACTTTACTTTTAACTAGTTATAACTAGTGTTATTTTTAGTTATAACTAGTATTTTTAAACAATAATGATCAGTAACATATGGTATAATAGATGTACAATTTTAGAAACTCAAACCATTCACAGAGAAAATAATCTTTTGCGTAGACACTTTTCCATTTCACTTGCAATATTCTGGTTCAGAATATTGAGAACTGTTTGTTTAAAGATAATTTCTCTTTTGAGGATCTGCAAATTAGAGCACATTACTGACAGTATAGCATCATTTGAAAATTCCTGAATTGATAACATAATTAAGCATCATGAACCACAAAGGTGTAATTGACTTATTCGGTCACATATCCTTTATCATCATACTGCAAAAAATGACAAAATGATATAGGCAGTTAATATGAGGCAGCAGTGAGCAGAAGTAGACTATTTGAATCAGCCAAGATTTTAAAACAGGGCTACCTAAAATACTATAGGTTAGACTATGAACTTCATTTGACTTTGAAATGCTCATCTCTATGTATTGAACAGGTTTCATTTCAATTTGAAGGGATGTTACAAAGGTAAGGCATTGCCAATATTGATTTTATTTTCCATGGAATGATTAATTACAACATTGATCATTTCAAGGTTAACAATATACTGACTGTACCTTTAAGCGAGTTATTTTACAAAGTATCTTCCACACATACCTTCTTGTATTAAAAAATTGTAAAGAAATAATTTTAAAATATACTTGGAATTGCTTCTTCAGTGCAATTTAAGGAATTATTATCTTCAAATTCATCACCTGTCCCTTCTCTTTACATGTCTCATTAATACAGCAAGTAGACATATTAGTAAAAGCATATCAGTGTCTGCTCAGTATACTAAAATGTAATAAATATCTCTGGAGGAAATCTTTGCTAATATGTCAAAACATCAGAGAGTGACAATCAATGCTTGTGAAACAAGATACATGAAAATGAAAGTATGTAAACATGACAATGCGATGATTTCTAAAACACTGAGTTAGTGAAATAAATTTTATTATATGTCAAGAAGGTGCTACAGAAAATCTTCCCACATTAATTTATGAATAGGTCTAGGCTGTACATAAAAGTGTTTTGGAAAAACATATTGAGGGTAATGGTGATAAGTGGATCAACTTTGTGAAACCACTGCAAGAGAAAATGTGATTCACCCAAACTGACAAACAAAAGAACCCACAGCAAATTGCTGGAAACCGTAAGTGCCCTAAAAGTACAAATAACATAATGTAAGTATGAACAAAACAAAAATTACCATATTAAAAATACAATATTTAGACAAAATGGAAATCTTTCCCACTAAGGTAACCACTTCTACAACTAATTATACTTTAAATCAGATTCAGAACCTTTTGCTGTATTGAAATTTTATAGCAATCTTCGTTGTTCTAAAAACTGTCAAGGCACTTAATAATACAAAAAAACAAAGAAACCCCTTTTTTGACTTCTGAAAAGATACTTTATTTCACATGAAATTTAAAATAATTAGCATTTAACTGTGCAAAGTGTTTCCCAATACACGTTTTTCTTATTATCTTGGGTGCTCTATTTCCTGCTTCATTATAATTTTATCAATTTTTTATTTTTTTAAACTTTTTAAAAACATTTTTTATTGTTCAAGTAAAGATGTCTCCATTTTCCCCCACCCCAGCCACCCCCTCTTCCCTAATTCAAACTATAATTACACTTTTTTTTCTAATTCATAAGGTAAAGAAGTGGTATTTCTCTTTTTTTAATTTTTTAATTTATTTTTAGAGGGGAAATGAGGGAGAGAGAAAGAAACATCAATGTGTGGTTGCCTCTCACACACCCTCTACTGGGGACCTGGACCCAGGCATGTGCCATGACTGGGAATGAAACCTCCAACCAACCCGTTAGTTCACAGGCTGGCACTCAATCCACTGAGCCACACCAGCCAGGGTGGTATTTCTCCTTTTTAATAGCTAAGTTTGAGGGAATGCTGTGGAATGTTTAGTATTTCTTTTTCCTGTCATAATCATTTCTGTTTTTATGTCCAGAAAGAAAATGGGTTTTGGGTTTGATTTATGTGTATGGATTTCCTAATCCATTTTGATTATTAATGAAAGCACCATGTGTTACAACCAGAAACGGTCACTGACACACACTCAGATAATGAATTTTAAAATAAGAAATTAAAAGGGCAAACAACCAGAGGCAAAAGGTATTTGATTTGATGTATCCATAGTAGGCAAATTCATTGGGGTCTTCACTATAAAACCAGGAAGGTAATTATACTTGCTTGTCAACTTTACAATTGTTGTGAATAACAAATATATGTGCAGCAGATCAATCTGTCCATTGCTATATATATGCTATTATTTTCCTTAAATGAGGTAATGTTTATAAAACATTGAAAATTGAATGGCTGGTTTAACTAGTCCCTAGGAAAAAGAGATTTCATTCATAGGTTAGAAGAATATGAATTAATTTTAAGATAAATTATTGTGTCACTTAGTGGCCATGACTTTTAGTCAAAATATGTTTCACTTTGGGCTACCTGAGTGTAACAAACAAATCTGATGTGATTAATACACAAGTCACAAAGAGGATTTACACTGGATATTTATATTGATATACTGATTTTACATATATGCATACATTGATATTTATTTGGTATATTGATGAAAATACAAAATGGTAATGACTATGTCCACTTTAAATCAATGTGGTGCTCTTCTGTAGTAAATCCAAATGTGGAACAATCTAAAAAATAAGTGGTACTGTTAAAATACATATAAAGAATTGATTTCATTGATTTGAAATTCAGTGGAATACATAAAATAACTACTTACTCTTGGCAACAGAATTCTGAAGACTGGAAGATGGCCCAGTTCTTTGTTTGTTTGATCCAGAAGTCTCCTGTTCTAGTTTTTCAGTAGCTACAGATCGTTTACTAACTGAAAAAAGATATAATTTTTACTGTATTCCTATTTTAAGAAAGCATCATTAGTCAAAATAAATGAGTTCATGATGTAGTTCTACAGAGCCTTAACATGGATTAATTATGTACACAACATTCACTGTCAGTCATATCTTAAAGACTATGTAAATTTAATTTAGGTTTTATGAAATCGTGTAGAATTAGTCCACATGTAGGAAAGTTTACAGTACATCAATAGTAAACAAGACAGACTTATTTATTTTAAAAACAAATAAGCAAAATATAACCAAAGACACTGAAATAGATAATAGGCTGACAGGGACCAGAGGGGAGAAGGGACGGAATTTCAGGGGAAAAAGGGGAAAGATTTACAGGAATTAGTGTAAAGGACACATGGACAACAACTAAGGGGGGTGGAAATGGGAGGGAGGTGGGGAGTACTGGGGTGGGGGGGCTGAGATGGGAGTAAAAGACAGAACACTGTACTTAAATAACAAATAAAATAAATTTTTTTTTAAATTTAAAAAACATGCACTGGAAAAAGTGTGTCAAGCTTATTTATTATTAATCATTTTATACTAATTAAAAGTTTAACTGGTAAGGTTTTGCATATCCTGGATAAAATAAAGTTATAAAATTTTTACCTGTTTCTTTCGCAATCTCCCAACACAGGTGAAATACTGTGCATGCAGAAGAGTACATGACAGCATTTTCATTTAAGATACAAAATTCGAATCTGCGTTGTAAATGCAACCTTACACTAACAGCCAATATTTAAATATAAGCATGAATGAACTTAAAGTTTAAATGCTGTTTGTATTAATTACCCATTTTGCTTTCAGAGGTCACTGTCATAGAGCCTTCCCATCTTTTCATACGTTCAATATAGTTGTTGCGCTCCAACGTACGAGAGACAACGGCTTTGAATCTCTCCTTAAAATAAATAAGTAAAATTAAGTAAATGCCAACAATGTTTACATATTCCTTTTAGTGTTTAGTATAACTGTAATCTGTGGGTTATAAAACAACACCATCACCAAATTTTTTATCAGGCAGAATCTTTTTTGTATCAGGTAAGTTAAAAATAGACATGTCTCAGTTTATTAATCAATATTAGTGCTTCTCTTGAATAACTAGATTTTAATCTTAGGAATCTGAATTGAAGAACTGTGCTTTCCTCTGCTTATGTCATTAAGAATTTAGAATCACGTTTATAGCCTCTTGCTACCAATTAGAGAAGACTAAGGGGACCAATTTTGTGTTTACTAATCATACCTTATGTTTTATTATTTTCCTGCTTTAATTTCCCCTCTGCTTGAATCCCTCAAACATACATCATGTGGTTGTAGTATGTATTTTTTAATATACCTGAAATTCTTTGTTAGAACAAGGCAGGAAAAAAATCAACTAACACACATGACATAAAATCTATGCCACAGTCATCCATTGTACCCACATTTATAGCATCTTAAATTCTGGTGTTACATAATCCAGTTTTTTAAAAGATAATTGATGTGCTTGTCTTGACCTCAAGTTTAATGTGAACTTCTTAGGATAACAACTACACAAATGTCAATGCCACATGATGACAAAATGAAAGCACTGCCAGAAATAAGATGGTTTTCTTTACTTAGATATTTTTCAGGCCTATGCTGTAACATATCATGGGTTATACTAAGGTAAGCAAATTAACTTCAGGGCTAGCTTTTCTATTTTTCCCTGACAACCACCGTTTCTTAGCAACATCATCCTTGTAATGTTCCCACCATTTCTCTGAGGGCAAAAAGGGTAAACATACTAGGCAGATGGAGAATTGGCTGTATCCTCTCAGAAGAGTAGCAACTGCAATTATTAATGTTTTTCATAAAATGTATGTAAGGTTAATATTTTAAAATTATATTTTCTAACAGAAAATTGTTCCAAATTACTCAGAAACCCAGAAAGTATAATGAACACTAAAATCAAAGATTAATCTTATATTAATAGAACATTACTGATTCCTAAAAATTCCATCCTGCTGTTTCCATCCAAATGAACTTGTGCTCACAGGTTCCTTCTTGCATCTGTGACTCAGATATACCATATTTTGCTGTGTACAATATGCACCCATGGCTCAAAATTTCAGGGAAAATCATTTAATTTTTTAATTCAATTTTTTAAAAGATTTTATTTGTTTATCTTTAGAGGGAAAGGGAGAGAAATAGTAATGTATGGTTGCTTCTCATGTGTCCCCTGCTGGGAACTGGCCTGCAACCCAGGCACATGCCCCGACTAGGAATCGAACAGCAATCCTTTGGTTCCCAAGGCCAGCCCTCAATCCATTGAGCTACAGCAGTAAGGGGTAATTCAGTTTTTTTAATTTTATATTTAGATACTGGTTTTCTGTATTAGAAAGGATTTTTTAGCATTTTTGAACATGTTATGGTACAAGAAATTTTATATAATAAGTAATTACAAAACACAAGAACAGATAAAAGGAGGTACCTCACTACCCATGGATAATGTGCATCCTTATTTTTCCCTCAGAAATTTGGACACAAAAAGTGCGCATTACACAAGGCAAAATATGGTATCTCCTGTGGCCATTCCTCAGCACCAGGAATTTGGGTTTTTCCCTTGATCTACCTATAGCCTACTTAAAATGTCCCATGGTCCCTGCTGTAATCCCCCACGTGAGCTCTCTGGGGTCGATACTCTTTGGCTCTGGTTTCTTGTCTTTCTGCCTCTTTTCTCACGATGTCTCTGGCTCCCTTTCTGTCTGCTGTGTCATTCTGTTGCATTCTCCTCTATATTCTCCCAGATTCCTCTTTCCCTAAGATGGTATTTTTTTCTCTCAGTCCTTGGGACTGCCTCTCTCCTCCACTCTGGCCCACTCTGCACACACAGTTTTCTGTTTTACTTTCTTTGGTTCTCTGTCTTTTTAAAAAATATTTTACTTATTTATCTTTAGAGGGGAAGGGAAGGACAGAGGGAGAGAAACATCAATGTATGGTTGCCTTTCATGCGTCCTCTGCTGGGAACTGGCCTGCAGGGAACCGGCCTGCAACCCCGGCATGTGCCCTGACTGGGAATCGAACCGCGATTGTCTGGTTCGCAGGCCCGCGCTCAATCCACTGAGCTACACCAGCCAGGGCTTCTTTTCTTAATTTATATTCTCTTTCTCTCTTCCCTTCTTTCTCTTCAACATAGATAAGTAAATTAAGGACATATTTCACAGAGAAAAACTAAGTGACAGAACTTCTAAATGAGAGTCCATCAACTATTGAATTGCAAAAAAAAGAGCACAAGCAATTCCTGGGAAAAAGTTCAAAAAGACAGAGAAAGTGGTAATGGATTACGAATGGGGAAGAAATGGCACAAAGACAGTCCTAGAATAAGGAAGATCCACAGACGGAGGCAAAAGCTGGGGGTGAGGCATGTGCCAGAGCAACTGTGTGCAGAAGGAATGAGGAAAAGACGGGCATCACAGAGAAAGACACAGAGAAGAGTGCTCGTGGGAGAGAAATGGAACCAAAGAGAAAAAGGAGAAAAAGAAATGTAAAACTTAGAGCAACCTAGAAAAAAAGAGAAAGATAAAAGCCCACATACTAAGGGAACAACAGGCAGAAGGTACAGAGATGAGAAGAGAAAAAGAGGCACGCTAAAACAAAGGAAGAAAACTGAGGCACATAAAACAGAGAAAGAACCAGAAGACAGACTAAGACTTATTTAGGGACACCCAAGAGTCACTGGAATGAAGAAAAGAGAATGCCAGCAAGAAAGAGAAGGGTGTCACAGAGAATTTGCCAGAGTCAGAAGAAAGAGTCAATTTACTCAGAGTAAAGTAGTACAATGAACTACAAGAGAAAAATTTGGTGTCAGACAGAATCATATAGAACAAGACAGGGAGCCAGATGTCTATGTATAAATAATAAAAGAAATTAGGCAGAGAGGGACAGAAGGGAAAAAGAGAGGGCATCACAAAGACGGTGACTCATACTAAAAAGTGCCAAAGTCACTAACTGAGTCTAAAAAGGAAAAGAGAGCAGTGGGTCACAAAACAACAGAGAAAAAAAGGGAATGTGAAGAACATGAGGGAGAGGGCCAGGGAGAGTGTGTGCACACACAAGAGGGAGTCAGGGAAATGTGTAAGAGAGAAGTGCTTGGGGCTGGCTGGGGCTCAGCCATTCAATCAGAGTTGTAGTTGGGAGAAGTAAGCCTGTCAGATGGGGCCCTGGGAGGGAGGGCCAAATAGTGGGTCTGTGCATATTAGGAATCAGGTCACTGAAAACTTTTTGGTAGAAGAGAGCTACTCAGAGCAAACCCCGGGCCCCAGGCACCCTACGTGCCATGTCCTGAAGGTGGACAGGTGTCTTGTTTTAAGATCTGCAAGGCTCCTCTTTACCTCAAGCCCATGGTTCTCAACACCCAGAATGTGACTGGGACAGGAACAAGAGGCTCCAATATTGAAGGGAAGAAAGGAAGAATTGGCATTTGTTCCCTTTCCACAGGTTGGACCAGTAAAGGCAGAGAAGCTTTAAAAAAAGTATTCCAGATCCGGGCAACACAGTGTATCATCTAATTTAACAGTCTAGAAAAATATGTACCTTATCTTCTCGTAGTTTTTGTTTTCTTTTTTCTTCTGCAGATATTCTTCGCTGTTCATCTTTCTGCTTTTGTTCTCGCAGCTTTCGCTGTTTTTCTTCCATCTGTTTTTCATACTGGATCTTGGCCTTTCTTTCTTTTTCAAGGAGTTGCATTTCTTTAGTAGCTGGAATATTCCAAATACAAGGTGTAGGAGCCAAGAAAATATTGAAAGTTTTTCACATTACATACAGAGGAGAAAATTAATATATCTCATCTCTTTCTTAAAAATAATCTGTGCTAATCATTTTATTTAATCGTTTAAGAAAAATAATCTTAAAAATAAAATGACTAATAAACTAAACATTTATTTTATGAGCGAACACAGGTGCATTTTCGCTGGGTGTTCATTTAACTCCACACAACTAAATTAACTTAGATGACTTTCATCCTGTCTGAACAAAAATTCCAATTAAAGTTTCATCCATGATATTTCTGATGAGTTGAGAGCTGAAGTGAAACCCCACCCAATAAACACGGCGTACACTAAAATAAGAATTTTTTTTTAAAAACACAGGACCAGAGTGTGTTTTTTCCTCTTCAACTAGGAAACTTCTTTCAAAGGCCTCATCTATACAGACCATATTGATCATGCCAGTTCATTGGCTTAGTCACATACCACATTTTGATCTTTGCCTATATTCAAATTTCCCCTTTGCTTAAGCATCTATACAGTTGTAAAATAGTCTCCGGCTTACAGCTAGGAAGAAAGAGCTCCTCACCAAATTGTTTTGGTGTTCCATTTGAATAAAATTGAGCACTAGTATTGTCAGTGTATTTACAGGACCAGAGGAGAGAAATACACAGCTGAAAATGCATGCTCTCAGGGTATATACAGAAAAATTACTCTTTTATATCCCAGTTGATTCAAAGTTACACTTGAGAAGCATAGCAATCAGTGAAAGATACCATATCCACTAAGAATTCCTAGCAACTTCATTTACATGTTTAGTATCATTTTGCCAAGTCCCACTGCTTATTTCTACAAATGTTGAATATATATTCATACCTTAGTTTTCAGAAAATTAAAGTTAATAGTAATTACTACTTCAAAAATTAAAACAATTTAGTCAAATATTTTATGTGCCTTCTCTAATTTAGTATAAATATTTAATCCAATATAATGCATACTATAAAAAGTGTGATCTATCATATAAACAGCTCAGGAAAAGTAAGTAAAGCTACTTTGTAAATATGGAATTTAACATAAAATTCATTCATTTCGATTTTTTTAAAAGTCTGAAATATACCATCTTGTTGTCTTCTTTTTTCTTCTCTGCGCTCCTTTGCTAATTGTTGTTTTATATCATTTTTAAGCACAGATCCATCTGTTACTAAAAAAAGAATATGGGTAGACATCAATTGGATATAAAATTTTAATGAGATGACACTTGGACATCTATCAGAGCATTCTAGAAATTATACCTGGTTTAAATGGTAATCTTGTATTTGAGGATCGGAATGAGGACACGCTAAACCGATGCTGACTGCGTTTCTCTGGAGCAATGGCATTGGTGGCAGTATCTAAAATACAGGGAGATAAAGGGAGGGGTTAGATACTGAGAACAAATAGCTAACACAAAGATCCTCAAAGTACAAAGTGTATCTTTGATGCTAAAAGATAGTGCATCTTCCATAAGTCATGATGGGTTAATCTGAGTCAACAACAAAGATATACTGAGTTCATCATGTTCAACAACAATGTCACAAAAAATAAGTGTCTACTGTGGATGAGACAGCATATCTGTGGACATAAAGAGAATTGTTAATGGGAGTAGCAGCACAAGTTTGTGAATGAGCAGAATCTACCGATTAATAGCTTTCAAAAATGTGTCAGACAAGACATTACACCAAGTACAATACTAAAAAAAACAGGTGGTAAGGAATTGGAAAAAATGTTTCACCATAAACTGGGAATTTCAAAAACATTTGGAGTTCATGGATCTTAATTTGGAAGCAAAAATGTCAACAGTGAGATCCTCAGAGACTGGGCCCAACATTAAGAAGTACATTTATAAATGGCCTAGATTCAGGGGCTTTCTGCCCTGTGTGCAGTCACTTAAACTGCTTTGAAAAATTAGCACTACCTGACCCTCCCAGCCCCCACTCCCAGAGGGTGGGACCCAGGCCTTTGCAGTTGCTAAAAGCTCTATTCTGATGCACAATGAAGGTGAAGAAGCACTCAAGGAATTTCCAACAAGATGGTATTACTCTAGGATTAAAGAACCACCACCACCAACCCCCCCACAACAACTCTTAGAAAACAGTATGGCCATTACCAGAGGCAGAGGGGAAGATAGAAAAGGGTAAATGGAGAATGAATGGTGATGGAAGGAGACTTGACTTTCGGTGGTGAGCACACACTACAATATACAGATGATATATTATAGAAGAGAATTGTACACCTGAAACATATAATTTTATTAACCAATGTCAGCCAAAAAATTCAATAGGAAAAAAACAAGTCAAACAAACAAAACATAAATTACACAATACAAATTTACATATGACTTGTGTAAACAGGTAGAAAAGCAATAAACTTCAGTAAGGGGGATGGGGGTTGGGTGGAAAAGATGAAGGGGAATACAGTCAATAATAGCGTGGTAAGTTTTCACAGTGACAAATGATTACTAGATTTAGTGTGGTGTTCACATTGCAAGGCATAAAAATGATGACTAGTATTATACATCTGAAACCAATATAATGTTATATACCAACTATTATTAAATCTAAAAAGTAAAAACTTTAATAGGGGTGAAATATAAGGGGAGCACAATTTGAGGGAAAGTAAGAAAAACTTAAAATTCTAGGGTGATACACATACAAGTCATTATAGAGGATTCCCTGAAACTTTTAGTTACAGGTACGGCTGTTTCTAAAATGCCCCACACTACTGGGCATCTTAAGGAAGGTTCTGGAGAATAACAATAAAAATTCTCTTCTATCTTATAAAAAAGCACAAGAAATATGGCCCTGTGATACTGCCTACACTTCTGGTTTCTATATATCAAGGAAAATATAACAGCTGAAGATGGGCAGTGAAAATAATTAAGGGGATACAGGTGCTCTCCTTGTACTTAATAGAATGAATGGACTCTGAGATGTCTGTTGCCACTGGGACATCTGAGAGTCATTTTATAGAGTAACCTTGAAAGTCACATCACAATGCTGCCATAGGGATCACCATTTCAAAAAGGAAACAGGATTTTTTTTTACCCCAGAGACCTAACAGCTCAGATAATACATGACCTAGCTAAACTGGAAGATTAGACTCTTCCCACCTTCCTCAATAATTCAACTACTGCCAATTATGTAGACCACAATTGCCCTTAGAATTTGAGTACTACTGTATTAAGAAAAACTCTTAAATGGAATCTATAAATTAAGCCCTCCTACATACCCTCTCCCACTCACAATATTTCTATGTGAGCAAAGAGAAAATCAGTAGTTTTTGCACATTTGATTTTCTTAGAAATCCTAAGGAAAGTTCATATTTTGGCACAATTTAGCCAACCAAAAGGGCAATTTCTCTCAAAATGCTCAATTTTACTAGATTCACAAACCTTTTTCAATTTTTTCATTGTTCAGGTACAGTTGTCTCCATTTCCCCCCACCATTCCCCACTACCCCAGCCATCCCCACCTCCCACTCTCCATCCTATCCACCCTTTTAGCTTTGTCCATGTGTCCTTTATACATGTTCCTTGATGACCCCTCCCCCTTCCCCCCCATTATTCCCTCCCACCTCCCCTCTGGTTACTGTCAGTTCGTTCTTAACTTCACACAAAACAAACAAGCAAGCAAAATATAACCAGATTCATACATCTTACTAAAGTGAAGTAACCTTAGAATTAGCTGTGTTGAGAATAATGAACCAAATCATATAAGGCTCATGTGGTAACATTACATCAAATCTGATTTTTAGATCTTTATATCCAAATTCCTACTGGCAAGATATACATTCGCTAAAATGGCAGGCTCCAAAAATTATTTCAAAGCTCCAGGCAATGGGGCAAAGCCTTTATGTCTGGATTTACTCAACTCTGGAATGACAGGATTTAGTTACCATTTTAAAAGTATCACTTAAAAGTATCCACTAAGGTACAGGAAGCATACTACTGTATTTCTGTAGTTCTTCTACTAACTCTAAATCCCAAATTAAGGTTAAAAGTTACCTTGCCTACAGATTAAATTTAAAAAATGTACAGAGTTTATTACTGAAACTGAATTGTGAATCTTTGTTATGGTACTTTCCTAAAAACTGCCATTAACAAATAATGTATATCACTTCACCACATATGAAGTTCTATTTGTGTTAGTTCATTAAATTCTCATAACAATCCTATACAGTGGTTATTATTGTTTTTCCCATTTTTTAACAGATGAGAAAACTGAAGCTAAACATAACTTTCCCAGATCACATAGGTAGTTAGTAATGGTCCAGAACTTGTTTCAATTGTAGATTAAGAAGCAACTTTACACCCTGCCGCGTGTCCTGGCTGGTGTGAGGCTGATATAGGTTGGTGGAATGAGTGCCAGCCTGCAAACCAAAGGGTCACTGATTCGATTCCTGATCAGGGCACTTGCCTCAGTTTCTGGCCAGGTCCCCGGTTGGGGGTGGGCAAGAGGCAACCAGTTGACATCAATGATTCTCTCTACCTCTCTTTCTCCCTCCCTTCCTCTCTCTCTAAAAATAAATAAAATAAAATCTTTAAAAGAAGGAAGCACATTCACTTTGAAATCTTATATAATCACGAAGGACCAGACTGTACTAAACTTGTATTAACCTCTGTATGATTTAGTTCATTATTCCCACTAAGATTACTTCTGTTTAAAATATCACAAAAAAAGAAATTAAGACCTAAATGTATAAAGTTGACTCAACAAGGAATAAATAAAATATACTTTGAAAAATACAGCAGTAGAAAGATTTTAAAATAAAGCATTTACAATTTTTTAAAAGATGGCACAATTATACTGTGGCTAAGACTGGACTATGTTTAAAAACTAAGTGTAAAAGATATTACAAGAAGCCCTAGCTGGTGTGGCTCAGTGGACTGAGCAGCGGCGTGTAATCCAAAAGGTAGCAGGTTCGATTCCCGGTCCGGGCACATGCCTGGGTTGCAGGTTTGGTTCCCATTTGGGGGTATGTGAGAGGCAACCAGTGTTTCTCTCACACATCGATCTTTCTACCCTTCTTTCTCCCTCCCTTCCCCTCTCTCTAAAATAAATAAGTAAAATCTTTTTTAAAAGGTATTACAAGAAAAAATCATTCTCCTACAGGGAATCATCCTATCTAGGCCAATATAAGGTTTAGAATGAAATGAACCAGAAATTGGCATCACTAGGATGCCATAGTTAAGAATGCTTACACTTAATAGGTTTTTGAAAGATGTCATTGAAATTATGAAGCCCCTTTAGGGCATAAAACACTTGAGCTCATTACTGACTTCAACAAATTGAAAATTTCTGCTTCTCTCTGCCTCCCCTTCCTCAACACACACACATACACATAATCACATACATACACACACAATCAGTATCACTATAGTTCTGCTCCACTGAGCCAACTAAATGCAAAACAGGAACAACAGTTCATGCCAACTAGTTAAGAATGGCAATAATCTTCTAAGGCTGCACACAAGCACAATAGCCCCCAAATGCTTAATCCCATGAGATGTCAATGATAAATATGCCCATAGGTATTCAGCAATTCTATATGGTCTGCCACAGATGTTACTCTAGAATCCCTCTCAGAATTCAACATAAAATCTGTAGCCCTACCAGCCCATGACCTTTCTTCCCCAAGATCCTTTCTTCTGTACTCATCAGAAATATTAGAATGCATAAACTAGTACTTTTATTAGGTAAAAAAGGGCACAGATTGAAAAACTGACTGACCAGGTTTTTTATTGTTATAAAAGGGCTATGGTTGTGGCAGAGAACCATACTATGGTACAGATTAATAGATTTAGTGCTACTCACTGCTATTGGGACAACAGAATAAAAATAACCGAATACCAGAGTGGCAAAACATTCCACTGACTCTCTGCCCCCTTCAGGAAATGCTGACACCAGGAGGGCAGTTCTGATCTAGCGTGCGATGCTTTCAGTTTCCAATTTAAAATGGGCACCAAGGATGTCAATGAGGCATCTGTTTAAAGCATTTTTGCGTGGCTTTTTAAATTTTTAGTTTGAAATACTGTCAATTCAAGCAACTGTCTTAAACATTTTCAAACACTTTTCAACATTTAATATACAAATGTTTAGGGAGATTATCTACAACACTGGTTAATTTAAATCAATGATATAAACCAGTGTCATAGAGCCTTGGGTGTTCATAAGGAATAAAACAATCTGAATTTATTGCATACTCATTCTCTAGAGACAGAAATGAGTTTTTCTCCTGATGGAACGATAAAAGTGTATTATGCTTCTAACATTCTTTGCAGAGTTGATTCAAAGCGTTTTCAAGTAATATAAAGCTTCCCAATCGTAACCAATCTAAATTAATTTTTCAACTGCAAAGGAAAAAAATCCCCTAAGGATTTCAATAAAATCAATATGATGGTTTTATTCAACCGCTCATGGTGGAGGAAACTAGCCTGGGAAGTGGCAAAAAGCAACCTCCCACAAGCTAGAAATACTATCTCGCTCAGGTGGTGGAACAGTATCCTGAGCCAAACAATTGGCTGACAAATTTTACAAAATTAACGATTTTTTGGGGGGAGGGCGCCTTTTTGGCGATGGGGTCAGTTTAGGAGAAGCATTCAAATCAGTTCAGCCTAGGGTCTGCAACATGTCCCAGAGAAGGTGACATCTTGGCAAAGTCGTGTGAATTAGGAGGAATAGCCAGCCAACCGACCTTGACCAGGAGGGTGCCAGAAGTAAGCTTTGGAAGAGAGGCAAAGACTGAGACCGTGGGAAAGAATCAGAGCGCGAACGCCCTGGGTAGAAAGAAAACTGCAACCACCGATGCCTCGAAGGGCTATCCTCGGCCGCGGAGGCGGTCTCGGCGCACCGGGTGCTGGAGGGCGCCAGCACCTCCCCGACGGACGCCGAGTCCGCTGCCGCGGTTGCGCGAGCGCATGTCGCCCCCCAAGAGCAGGCAGGGCTCGGGACCGGCCGCGGGGTCCAGGGTTCCAGGCCACCCCCTGCCCAGCATCCCGTTAGTTCCGTTGCGTCCCTCGCGCGGGGTTCGGCCGTTGGCGGCTGTCCGTTTCCCCTTGCGTCCTTGTCCCACCACAAGTCCCCGTCCCAGGTTGGCTTTTGCGGGAGTGGTGAGAGAACCGGACAGAACCAGGCGACTCCGGGGCAAAGTTTTCTGGTGCCCACCGAGCCGCTTCGGTGATCTCCGGGGCCACAGAAAACCTGGCTCCCACGCAGCCCGAGCCCCCGCACCCTCCTCTCTCCGGGAACCGCCACCGCCCGCTCACCCAGGCGTTCCCGCATCCCTCTCAGGTATGTGCGGCTACCGCTGGCGGCACGCTCCGCCATCTTCCGAACAGTCGAGCCCTAAGCCGCTAAGAGCGCTTTGGCCACAGTGCGCAGACTCTTGCTCGGCCGCCTCTGTGGCTCGGACCCCGATATCAGAGGGCGGGGCGGGGTGGGGTGGCACGGCGGACCCCTCCGGCCCCGCCTATCTGGGACCGCCGAAGTGAGCCGCGCCGCTCTCCACCCCTCATCTCCCGACCTGTTGGGCAGCGACCACCTACTGTAAACAAACCCTCGCCTACGTACCCCGCTCTCCCCTCCCCCTCCATTGTGGGGGGCCAGCCATTCATCACGCGGCTTGGCCATCTAACATTCTATTTCTCATCACTTCTACCTGGCAACACAGTAACATTCTTTCTTCCCTTCACTCATTCGTTCTTTTAGGGAGCTTGTACTGAGTGCCTTCTGGGTGCGCTTGTATCACGAGTTTGCTAGTCTTTGAAACACTACACAGAGAAAGGCCCAAATTGGGGGGAAGGGGCCCAGGGAAAGGTTGGGAAAGACAGGTTCCTGTGAGGTGCTAGGGATCTGAACTTGGGCTGAGACTTTCTTAAACTGTTGCAGAATAAATCATGACACTGTTAGGTCTCAAAATTGCACAAATTATCTTTGGGGTGCTTGTGAGTCTTTAAATTGAAGGAGAGGACTTGCATTAATCTCTCCAGACTTTGGGGGAGGTACTTGAGGTTTGCAGAATGTTCCCCCTACCCCCCCCCTTTGCTCACAAGGAAAAGCTTCATTGGCTGGATGCGCCTTTGAGGGGAAGACATCATTTTCATGGGTGGTTGCCTGTGCAAAGTGGAGTCACCCCCTTTATTAGTGTGGTGTGGCATATGGTTGCTTGTTGGGAACAGTTTATCCATGGGATCCTAGGATGGGACAGGAGACCCCCACAAGTGGGGCAGGCAACCAACCACTTGTGGGATGAACACTGTGACGAGTCTACTGTGTCTCAGGATCACATGAGAACTGTAAAATGAGAAAACCTAGTAACAGCAAACACTTACTGACTCTTATGTGCCGGGTACTGTTCTAACTGCATTACATTTATTAACTCATTTAATCTTCCTACAACTCTACTAGGTAGGTATTATTATCACCCCCATGTTGTGGACAAGAAAACTAAAGCAGATAGAGGTTAAATAATTTATCCAGAGTCACACAATTGTAAGTAACTGAATTGGAATTTGAACTCAAAACGACTGAGTATCCATATGCTTAACCTTATGCCATACTGTTTCATGAGATTTGAGATACAGAGTATAAAATTTGTAAATGATTAGTACCCAGAATGCATAAAGATCTAAAGACACATAAGAAAAAGACAACCTCCAAACAGTGAGCAAAAGACATAAACAGAATTTATACAAGGAGAAAACACAAAATGGTCAATTAACATAAGAAAAGATGCTCAAACTTCAGCAGTGAGAGAATATAAAGGAAAACCTCAAGGTGTCTTGTTAAACCTACAGATTTGGCAAAAATTAAAAAACACAATAAATAAGTGTTGGTGAGGCTGTAGATTAATACTACTGGTGTTAAGTTCTATTAAGTAGTGTGAAAGAGCCTACTACTACTAGGCTCTTTTACATGATTCCTTGAAGGTGGTGGGCTGCTTCAGGATGAAGCTGCATATGTGTTTCCCAGATACTGGTTGCCAGAAACTCATTGAAGTGGACGATGAACACAAACTTCATACCTTTTATGAGAAGTGTATGACCATAGAAGTTGCTGCTGATGCCCTGGTGAGGAATAGAGGGGTTATGTGGTTCAAATTAGTAGTGGGCACAACAAACAGTTTCCTGGTGAAGTAAGGTGTCTTGACCCATGGCTGTGTCCACCTGCTGCTGAGTAAGGGGCATTCTCCTGTTATAGACCAAGGAGGACTAGAGAGTGAAAGTACAAATCTGTTCAGGGTTGCACTGTGGGCCAATCTCAGTGTTCTGTTTTTGGTCATTGTTTTTTTTTTCTTTTTTAAGGAAGAAAGATTGTCCCAGTCTCACTGATACGTACTGTGCCTTGTAGCCTGGGGCCCAAAAGAGCCAATAGAATCTGCAAACTTTTCAATCTCTCTAAAGATGACATCTGCCAATATGTTGTGAGAATGTCCCTAAACATAAAGGTAAGAAAACTAAGGGCAAAGCACCCCAAGATTCAGCATCTTATTATTCCACATGTCCTACAGCAAAAATGTTGGCATATTGCTCTAAAGCAGGGGTGTCCAACTTGTGGCTTGTGGACCACATGTGGCCCAGGATGGCTGTAAATGTGGCCCAACACGAAATGGTAAATTTACTACAACATTATGAAAATTTTTCTGTAATTACGTGTCACAATGTATTTAGTGTGACCCAAGACAACTCTTCTTCCAGTGTGGCCCAGAGATGCCAAAAGGTTGGATACCTCTGCAACGTACCAAGAAGAATAAGGAAGAGACTGCAGAATACACTAAACTTTTGGCTAAGAGAATGAAGAAGACCAAAGAAAACCATCAAGAACAGATTGCTGAGAGACATAGGGTATCTTCTCTGAGAGCTTCCACCCCTAAATCTGAGTCCAGTCAAAAATGAGGTTTCTCTAAGAATAACAAATAAATAAAAACAAATATCAACTCTCCAAAAAAATGCTAGTAAGGGTAAAAGTTTGACAATTATAGCACCCCAAACCCTGCTGTTATGTATATACAGACACCAGTGGTTTGTCTGATATACATTATGATAGCCATGTTTATTAATATGGCACACATGTGATTAGGGTGCCAGCAAAGCATATGTACTGTACACAGATATAAAATGAGTTCCAATGAAGTCATGTGAAACTTCATAAACAAAAAATCTAGAAAAATGCAACATCACCCTTGGAGTTTCTTGCAAAAATGTTGAAAATGTTCAGCCTATTGCTAGATGTCTAACCCATCCATTAATGAGGCAACATTCAGACAAATGCAGACTGTGACATTTTCTACAAAACACTTGGCCTGGATGCTTCAAAACGTTAATGGCATGAAAGATTAAAAACAAACGTCAGGGAAATGGTCTAGATCGCAGGAAGAGAACAAGTGTAATACATGATCCTTGATTAGACCTACATTAAAACAAACTCAGGGGTACTTATTAATGGGACAATTGGGAAAGTTTGAATATAAACTATATTAGATAACCTTATTGTATCAAGGTCAAATTTCTTTGGCATGAAAATGATATTGTGGTCATCCAGGAAAGTGTTCTTTTTCTTAAGAAGTAAGTGCTGCAGAATTTAGGGGTAAAGCATCACAATATCTGAAACACTGGCAAGTAATGTAGTTCAGAGGAAAAACAGCAAATATCACAAAATGTTAAAAATCGGTGAATCTTGATGTCTCAGAGATGTTGATTTTACTATTCTTTCAATTCTTCTGTGGGTGTGAAATTTTTCAAAATAACAAGTTGGAGTTTTTTTCTAATCTAGAAATTTTGTCTTCAGCTTACTTGCACATACCACCACTTTCAAAAATGAAATTTAATTTGGAATTACATATGGGGAGGCACTCTCGATATTCTTTTCAGTATTTAAAGCAGAGGTGTCAAACTCATTTTCACCGGGGGCTACATCACCTCACGGTTGTCTTCAAAGGGCCAAAATAATATTAGGACTGTATAAGTGTAACTACTCCCTAACTGTTGAGGAGTTGAAAATACATTCAACCCTTTGAAGGCAACCATGAAGCTGATGTGGCCCCTGGTGAAAATGAGTTTGATACCCCTGATTTCAAGTCTCTAAATGCCTTAATCCTGTCCGGGTGTGGGGGAATTGGGGTAATAAGAGGTCTACTAAAAAAACATATAGATAGTATACGCTGGGAGCTGGGTGAAAGGAATGAAAATGTGTCCTAAGAGCTCAGCAGATTGAGAAATCACTCCAAGTTGGGATGATCCGAGAAGCCTTCGTGGAAGAATTAGCACTTATTCTGGTCCTGAGGCCCCAAAGAAAGCAATCTGTCCTTAATTCCAGACTATGGTAGCTAAGTAAAGACACAGGCCCATATGTGGCCAAATCTTCCCATTTTTCAAAATAAGCTGAAAATTTGGATTTTAATGCAAAATCTCTTATTTTTTTAAATGATGACAACATTAGACATTTTGCAAAAACACCATGCAGGGCAAATAAAATGATTGGATATATAATCAGTGCTCAAGTTTCCCAATTGTCTCATTTTGGGGGGTTGGAATAAAAATCCAAACAATTGCCTCACATGACCTTGATTTGTTTTTTAAAATGTCTTTTAATCTATAGATAAACCTTGCTTTCTCTCTAACATCACTGATAGATCCCTGTGAAGTTTAGCCATTCATTCTGTAAGTAAGTCATTCAATGAAACTTTTACTAAGCACCCACTCTGTACCTGGCAGGTTAGAGAGAATGAGTGACTCCTGACAGGTAAGGAGTCCTGCCCTCCATTGATTCTAAGTGAATGATTAGACATCAGGGCCCCCTTGGATAGCTGTTTCCTTGGGAGCCAGAGCAGCTCTCTAAGGAGTCCCTATGAAACTATCTGTACATTTCTCAGACAAATATTGGAACTGAAGGCCTGTCAGCTTAGGGATAATAAGTCTTTACTGGAGCCAACTGAGACTCACAGCTGGAAAGGAACCCAGGCTGCTCCTTCCCTTTCCTCCCTTATTTTGAGACTACATGTTCTCCAGTGAGCAAAAAAAAAAAACAAAAAAAAAAAAAAAAAAAACAAACCCTAGAATCTTCACTTTTTTTGTAAGCAGGGTTGTCCCTGCTTAAAAAGCCATACTTGGCTTTTTTATCCCTTAAAACTGACACCAGCAGGAAAAATATATAATAGGTCTGGGAACTTTTTTCTATTAGAAGTTTTTAAAAATTGAATTCACATGTAATGAACACTTGGTGAATTTACCAAGTCTAGCAAATCTGCATTTAAACTGCTATCACCACAGCGTTGTACTATGAATTTTAAGCATCACAGCAAAGAGCTGGCTCTTCCTCTCCATCCTAAACTACCTGTCGGATTTATGCATCAATCACACTGTGGAGAAAGGGCTCTGGTTTTTGTTTTGTTTTATTTTTGTCTCTCACTTCTGACTTTTGCCTCGCATCTGCTGCACCTTGGTCGTGATGCAGGGGAAAGAGTGATGTTTGATTGTGGTCTCATCTCTCCCCAAATCTACTCATATTCTTTCTTTC